GGAGCCCTTGATAGTGAAAATAAACTGAAACAAAAGGATTGATTAGATAGTGTCCACCAAATTTTAAATTACTCTTAAATGTCAACATGGGAAATAGTCAACCCAGCAACCATCAACGAAAACGGAGATAATTATTTGGTCCGAGTTTTTGGTTCGTTTTTAAAATTAAATCACCCGATAAGACATATTGTGTTAATGATGAAATTAAAATATATATATAAGTTTTGGAAAGGCTCTGCGTGATCTCTAACTTAAGGTGCAATTGAAATCTTAGGCCGTTCAGGTATCAAAAGATCGACGTAAAGTTAAAAGAACTACAATTAATGTGACTGGACGTGTAATTGTACAATGAGTCTATTGTCTCTTAGATACATACACGGTCACTTTTTCGGACCTTGTTTGCCTATATGTTACCAATCAGAGTTTGATAAAATTAAAGATTCGATGCCATTTAAGAAATTGCATGGCAAAATGAAGAATCTAATAGAATTTTATAAGTTTTCTTTTTTGTGGAGCCCTTGACGTTTCGCTTTCAAGCAATAATTAGATGTGCTTAAGTTGGACTTTTATATAAAATGCCTTAACTATTTCGACCAAGTAAAATTTTGAATGAACTCGGTTGAATTATCCAAAAAGAGATGCAAGCATTTGTGAGTTCGACCCTCCAAGATATTAAATGCAAGCCCAGTGGGTTGAATAATCATACAGGGAAAAGGTCCATGACGAAGAGAGAGAGTGAGGCTTCTTCAAATGTCTCAGCGACGTGTTCTAGCAGCCAATAGTGACCAAATCGTACTAAAAGCTTTTCTGCCCTATAAATTCAAACCCCAAACACCTTCTTCTCAATCATAATCAGTTGCAACTAAATCTCATTCTTGTGTGGAAATATATATATATATATACACACACACTCCAAATTAAGCATCTCCTTTTCAATATTTTAATGGATTCTGTATCTTTCTTTCCCAATATTATTGCTGCGATTTCAACCATCCTCTTGCTTTCCAACACAGCATGTGAAGCTCAACTTTCTACTACATTTTATAGAAATACATGTCCAAATGCACTCACTACAATCCGCGCATCCATCCGGCAAGCAGTATCCCGAGAGCGCCGGATGGCCGCGTCTCTCATTCGCCTCCATTTTCACGATTGCTTTGTTCAGGGCTGTGATGCGTCAATCTTACTTGACGAAACCCCTTCTATACAAACTGAGAAGACTGCAATTCCAAACAATAACTCTGCTAGAGGTTATGAAGTGATCGAGGCTGCCAAGAGGGAGGTTGAGAAAATATGTCCAGGAGTTGTTTCCTGCGCAGATATACTCACGGTAGCAGCCCGGGATGCCTCAGCAGCTGTAAGTAGACACACATCGTATTTTATCGAGTGGATTCTGTCACTCATTTATGATAGCTTTGTACAGGTCATGTCTATTATGAAAATATAAATTTGACCTCAACATCATGGGGCATCGAGTGCATGAATATCTAACCTTGTATTTTTATGAACCACAGGTTGGTGGCCCGTCATGGAATGTGAAACTTGGGAGAAGGGATTCCACAACTGCAAGTCGATCGTTGGCCAACGCCGATCTTCCAGGGCCAGATTCCGATCTCGGAGGACTCATTGCTTCCTTCGACAGAAAGGGACTCAGTGCTAGAGACATGGTTGCCTTATCAGGTAACTAAAAGTTTGATATTTGTGACATGCAAATCCATTTATCTTACATTGCTTAGATGTTGTTGGGTAACCGTAAGAGCTGACTATGCAACGTAAAACCGCTTTTGCCGTGCAGGATCCCACACAATAGGCCAATCGCAATGTTTTCTCTTCCGTGGAAGGATATACAGCAATGGGACAAACNAAACCGCTTTTGCCGTGCAGGATCCCACACAATCGGCCAATCGCAATGTTTTCTCTCCCGTGAGAGGATATACAGCAATGGGACAAACATAGATGCGGGGTTTGCAAGCACTCGTAGACGCCAATGCCCTACAAACAGTGGAGACACTAATTTGGCACCACTTGATTTGGTGACACCCAATTCATTTGATAACAATTACTATAAGAATCTGATGCGGAGAAAGGGTCTCCTTCAATCAGATCAAGTTCTATTCAGTGGAGGCCCAACCGATAGTATTGTTTCCGAGTACAGTAGAAATCCACAAACATTCTTGTCTGATTTTGCAAATGCCATGATCAAAATGGGAGATATTGAACCGCTCACCGGTCAAAATGGGATCATAAGAAGGATCTGCAGTGCCATCAACTAGTTTAATACATAACTATGTGATCCTGTTGCAGTTTTGTTGTTTTCTTAATTGAATGTCCATTTTCATTTTTATTCTCTGCATTTTTTTATTGTGTTCTTTCCAATTCTGAAAAACGTGCTCTTCATTTGTAATATTCTTTCTTTTTATCGTTCATAATTGTAAATCAACTTTAGCATTTTTTTTGGGTATACATCTAGCGTGCTCAAATCTTCGATTTTGGTCCCCCGCTCGTAACAAAATGTTGGCACCTC